CTATGGTTTAGTCTAAAATCAGACTGATATAATTCATTAGTATTATTTTTTTGTAGGAAAGAAGACAACTGACGAACTACAACCTTTTCCATGATCTTTGAAATGAAAGGAAGATTTGAGATTGGTCTATAGTTTCCTAAAACACTAGGTTCAAGATTTGGTTTCTTTAGAACGGGTCTAATAACAGCCAATTTAAAAGGTTTAGGAACATATCCAAGCTTAAGAGAAGAGTTTAACACATTTAACAGGGTGCGGTAATCTGTGGTGCGATTTCCTTGAAAAATTTTGTAGGAATTGGGTCTATGAGGCTTCAGATGTAAGGCTGAAGGACTGTGGAAGTTGTTTCATAAATGTTGTTATAGTTAGTGAGGCAATGGAACGTCTGATTCTGTACTTTGGAACTGCGGTCAACGGGAGGCTATACTGGATTTCAAACGTTAACAAGTAATGATCAGAGAGCAGGGGACTCTGAGGCATAATAGATACATGTTCCACCAAGATGCCATGACTAATAATCAAATCAAGGGTATGGTTACAGGCATGAGTAGGCCCAACTACATTAAAGAAGACATAAATATCTACTGCTACTTTATCAGGCCATAGGATAGTGTCAGTACTTAATAAGGGTCAAGAAATAAAGTGAATTCTTTAATGCAGTGCATCACACATTAGACTGGAAGTAATTTTTTTTACTTTTTTTTTTTGGAGTACATCTAACTGCTGGTGTGATCATAAAAAATTATGTCTCATTGTTTCATAATCATCTGTAAATAACAGCAGTGATGGTACACTTAATGGTAGACCATTGACAGGTGGGATCATTTTGACATTTTGCATTAGATCAATGCAAAGTGGAGAGGATGCTAGCAGTGTTCCAAGATAAGTCTGCTGGCATTGCTTTTCAACAAGTCTCATTTCTTGTAAGATCCTGTGGGAAATTACTCGACTGCTGTGTGGATAATTAGGGTCGGAGTGGATCTGGCAATGACTGACAGGTCACTGGCAGAGAAGTGCCTCACTGACGTGAGTGGCGCCCCTAGGAGTCCTAGGAATGCACACCATGTTTCAGCATTGCTCATTGGCCTTAATGTCTGTGAATCTCTTCTGAAGTTGTGGTATTTCAAAGTACAGTGGTACCTCAGTTAGCAAACTTAATCCGTTCAGAACTCCGGATCGAATCCTAAAAATTTCAAGTTGTGATCGAATTTTCCCCATAAGAAATAATGGAAAACCAATTAATTGGTTCCCGGCCCCAAAAAATTACACCTAAATCTGTTTTTTTTTTAGCATTTAAACGCAAAATGAACCGGATAAAACAAGAAGAGCATATATTGTAGTAAACACATCTAAGCACATTTATCAAAACACTAATTTGTAAAGTAAGAAAATAAATGTATCCAAACAATGTGTAAAGTTAAAAAAAACAATGTGCCCTGCCCCGATCGTCCGCTCCTTCTGTGTGCCACGCCCCCTCGTTAACCCCGTGTGGAATCCCTTCTGTTTCTGGTTGTTGTCATTAGCCCTCTGTATTTAGTCCGCGTTTCAGTTTGTTTCCCCAGTTCGGTCACTGTATTGTCCGTCTCTGTTTTGCCTGCCTTACCTGTAATTAAACCCCGTATTCCCCGATACCCTGACGTCTGCGCCTTTGTCTCCGTTCCGTCCCCACTCGGCACAACAATATAACTATAATTAAATGTATTCATGGTTTATAATTCCTTTATTTTTAAATGTATGTTACTATATAATAATAATTACTTTTACTATCATTGTCTAAATGTATTTTTACTGCCTAAATATTTGTATTCAGCTAGTATAAACATGCACGATGCTATCACAGCAAATGCGAGGCTGAGACTGAAGTGTTACCCTTTGTTTCCGCTGAGAGACGTGCCGTGTGACTCATT